GGGGATGGGGATGGGGATGGGAATGGGGATGGGGATGGGGATGGGATGGGATGGGAATGGAATGGAATGGGAATGGGGATGGGGATGGGAATGGGGATGGGATGGGGATGGGATGGGAATGGGGATGGGGATGGGGATGGGAATGGGGATGGGGATGGGGATGGGGATGGGGATGGGAATGGGGAATGGGAATGGGGATGGGGATGGGATGGGAATGGGGATGGGGATGGGGATGGGAATGGGAATGGGAATGGGGATGGGGATAGGAATGGGGATGGGGATGGGGATGGGGATGGGGATGGGATGGGAATGGGGATGGAATGGGAATGGGATGGGGATGGGAATGGGGATGGGGATGGGGATGGGATGGGAATGGGGATGGGGATGGGGATAGGGATGGGGATGGAATGGGAATGGGAATGGGAATGGGGATGGGGATGGGATGGGAATGGGGATGGGGATGGGGATGGGAATGGGAATGGGAATGGGGATGGGATAGGAATGGGATGGGGATGGGGATGGGGATGGGGATGGGAATGGGAATGGGGATGGGAATGGGAATGGGGATGGGATGGGATGGGGATGGGGATGGGGATGGGGATGGGAATGGGGATGGGGATGGGGATAGGGATGGGGATGGGAATGGGATGGGAATGGGATGGGGATGGGGATGGGGATGGGAATGGGATGGGAATGGGGATGGGGATGGGAATGGGAATGGGGATGGGGATGGAGATGGGGATGGGAATGGGGATGGGGATGGGGATGGGAATGGGGATGGGAATGGGGATGGGGATGGGAATGGGGATGGGGATGGGAATGGGATGGGGATGGGATGGGGATGGGGATGGGAATGGGAATGGGAATAGGAATGGGGATGGGGATGGGAATGGGGATGGGGATGGGATGGGAATGGGAATGGGGATGGGGATGGGGATGGGAATGGGGATGGGGATGGGGATGGGGATGGGGATGGGAATGGGAATGGGGGGGATGGGGATGGGGAATGGGATGGGAATGGGGATGGGATGGGGATGGGAATGGGAATGGAATGGGGATGGGATAGGATGGGGATGGGGATGGGGATGGGGATGGGGATGGGAATGGGAATGGGGATGGGGATGGGGATGGGGATGGAGGATGGGATGGGGATGGGAATGGGGATGGAGGGGATGGGGATGGAATGGGAATGGGAATGGGGATGGGATGGGGATGGGATGCCTGGCGATGGGATGGATGGGGATGGGGATGGGGATGGGATGGGGATGAGGATGGGGATGGGAATGGAATGGGGATGGGGATGAGGGATGGGGATGGGGATGGGAATGGGGATGGGAATGGGGGGATGGGGATGTGGGATGGGGATGGGGATGGATGGGATGGGATGGGGATGGGATGGGGATGGGATGGGGATGGGGATGGGAATGGGATGGGATGGGGATGGAGATGGGAATGGGGATGGGAATGGGGATGGGATGAGGGATGGGATGGGGATGGGATGGGGATGGGGATGGAGGATGGGGATGGGGATTGGATGGGGATGAGGAGGGGGGATGGGATGGGGAATGGGAATGGGGATGGAATGGGGATGGGGATGGAGGGATGGGATGGGGGGATGGGGATGGGGATGGGAATGGGGATTGGGATGGGGTATGGATGGATGGGAGGATGGGGATGGGGATGGGAGGGGATGGGAATGGGGGATGGGATGGGAATGGGATGGATGGGGATGGGAATGGGAATGGGGAATGGGATGGGGATGGGGGATGGGGATGGGGATGGGGATGGGATGGGGATGTGGGAATGGGGATGGGAATGGGATGGGATGGGAATGGGGATGGGGATGGGATGGGGATGGGATGGGGATGAGGATGGGGATGGGATGGGAATGGGGATGGGGATGGGATGGGGATGGGGATGGGATGGGGATGGGAATGGGATGGGATGGGGATGGGGATGGGGATGGGGATGGGGATGGGGATGGGGATGGGGATGGGGATGGGGATGGGATGGGATGGGGATGGGATGGGGATGGGATGGGGATGGGATGGGGATGGGATGGGATGGAGATGGGAATGGGGATGGGATGGGGATGGGAATGGGGATGGGATGGGATGGGAATGGGAATGGGGATGGGGATGGGGATGGGGATGGGATGGGGATGAGGATGGGGATGGGTATGGGAATGGGGATGGGGATGGGGATGGGGATGGGGGGGGATGGGGATGGGAATGGGGGATGGGATGGGGATGGGGATGGGATGGGGATGGGGATGGGGATGGGTGGGATGGGGATGGGATGGGGATGGGATGGGGATGGGAATGGGGATGGGATGGGATGGGGAATGGGAATGGGGATGGGGATGGGGATGGGATGGGGATGGGATGGGGATGGGATGGGGATGGGATGGGGGGAATGGGAATGGGATGGGGATGGGGATGGGGATGGGGATGGGGATGGTGGGGATGGGGATGGGGATGGGATGGGGATGGGGATGGGGATGGGATGGGGATGAGGATGGGGATGGGAATGGGAATGGGGATGGGGATGGGGATGGGATGGGGATGGGAATGGGGATGGGAATGGGGATGGGGATGGGGATGGGGATGGGGATGGGTATGGAATGGGATGGGAATGGGGATGGGATGGGGATGGGGATGGGATGGGGATGGGAATGGGGATGGGGATGGGATGGAGATGGGAATGGGGATGGGATGGGGATGGGAATGGGGATGGGATGGATGGGAATGGGAATGGGGATGGGATGGGGATGGGGATGGGGATGGGATGGGGATGAGGATGGGGATGGGATGGAATGGGGATGGGGATGGGGATGGGGATGGGGATGGGGATGGGGATGGGAATGGGGATGGGGATGGGAATGGGTATGGGGATGGGGATGGGAATGGGAATGGGAATAGGGATGGGAATGGGGATGGGGATGGAATGGGGATGGGATGGGGATGGGGATGGGAATGGGGATGGGGATGGGGATGGGGATGGGGATGGGGATGGGGATGGGATGGGGATGGGGATGGGAATGGGAATAGGATGGGAATGGGGATGGGGATGGGGATGGGAATGGGATGGGGATGGGGATGGGGATGGGGATGGGAATGGGAATGGGAATGGGAATGGGGATGGGGATGGGAATGGGGATGGGGATGGGGATGGGAATGGGAATGGGATGGGGATGGGGATGGGAATGGGGATGGGGATGGGGATGGGGATGGGGATGGGAATGGGAATGGGAATGGGGATGGGGATGGGAATGGGAATGGGGATGGGGATGGGGATGGGAATGGGAATGGGAATGGGGATGGGGATGGGAATGGGGATGGGGATGGGGATGGGATGGGGATGGGAATGGGAATGGGGATGGGAATGGGAATGGGGATGGGGATGGGAATGGGGATGGGGATGGGGATGGGAATGGGGATGGGGATGGGGATGGGGATGGGGATGGGAATGGGAATGGGGATGGGAATGGGAATGGGGATGGGGATGGGAATGGGGATGGGGATGGGGATGGGAATGGGGATGGGGATGGGGATAGGGATGGGGATGGGAATGGGAATGGGAATGGGAATGGGAATGGGGATGGGGATGGGAATGGGAATGGGGATGGGGATGGGGATGGGAATGGGAATGGGAATGGGAATGGGGATGGGGATGGGAATGGGGATGGGGATGGGGATGGGGATGGGAATGGGAATGGGGATGGGGATGGGAATGGGGATGGCAATGGGAATGGGGATGGGGATGGGGATGGGAATGGGGATGGGGATGGGGATGGGGATGGGGATGGGGATGGGAATGGGAATAGGGATGGGAATGGGGATGGGGATGGGGATGGGAATGGGGATGGGGATGGGGATGGGGATGGGAATGGGAATGGGGATGGGGATGGGAATGGGGATGGGGATGGGGATGGGAATGGGGATGGGGATGGGGATGGAAATGGGGATGGGGATGGGGATGGGAATGGGATGGGGATGGGGATGGGGATGGGGATGGGAATGGGAATGGGGATGGGGATGGGGATGGGAATGGGAATGGGAATGGGGATGGGGATGGGGATGGGAATGGGGATGGGGATGGGGATGGGAATGGGAATGGGGATGGGGATGGGGATGGGGATGGAGATGGGAATGGGAATGGGAATGGGGATGGGGATGGGGATGGGAATGGGAATGGGGATGGGGATAGGGATGGGAATGGGGATGGGGATGGGGATGGGGATGGGAATGGGAATGGGGATGGGAATGGGGATGGGAATGGGAATGGGGATGGGAATGGGATGGGATGGGGATGGGGATGGGGATGGGGATGGGGATGGGATGGGGATGAGGATGGGGATGGAATGGATATGGGAGTGGGATGGGATGGGGATGGCGGATGGGAATGCGTGGGATGGGAATGGGGATGGGGATGGGGATGGGATGGGGCTGGGGATGGGGATGGGGCTGGGGATGTGGCTGGGATGGGGGATGGGGAATGGGGATGGGACAGATGGGGATGTTGATGGGGATGGAATGGGATGGGGATGGATGGAGATGGGAATGGGATGGGATGGGGATGGAATGGGATGGGATGGGATGGGTAATGGGAATCGGGGATGGGGATGGGGATGGGGATGGGATGGGATGAGGCTGGGGACTGGGATATGGCAATGGGGCATGGGGATGGGGATGGGGATGGAATGGGGATTGGGAATGGGATGGGGATGGGGATGGGGATGGGGATGGGTATGGGATGGGATGGGCGATGGGAATGTGGATGGGGGGATGGGATGGAGGATGGATGGGGATGGGAATGGGATTGGGAGTGGGATGGGTATGGGAATGGGGATGGGATGGGGATGGTAATGGGGATGGGATGGGGATGGGAATGGGAATGGAGATGGGGCCAGTCCAACAGCGAGAGGCGGTGCTTCACCCACACAATTACGTCCTTGTCCCTCCTGCATGGCTCACAGGTTGCAAAAACATCCCCACCGCTCACCACGGATGCAGCATGTTGATAACAGCGTCGCTGCGAGCAGGCATGGCGACATCCAGAGTGTTGCTGGCGCACGGCACATGCCCCAGCGCATGCACCAGCAGTGGCGCCATCACTCCCCTGTCCCGCCCCACCCCCATCACTCCCCTGTCCCGCCCCACCCCCATCACTCCCCTGTCCCGCCCCACCCCCATCACTCCCTGTCCCGCCCCACCCCCGATCACTCCCCTGTCCCGCCCCACCCCCATCACTCCCCTGTCCCGCCCCACCCCCATCACTCCCCCTGTCCCGCCCCACCCCCATCACTCCCCTGTCCCGCCCCACCCCCATCACTCCCCTGTCCCCGCCCCACCCCCATCACTCCCCTGTCCCGCCCCACCCCCATCACTCCCCTGTCCCGCCCCACCCCCATCACTCCCCTGTCCCGCCCCACCCCCATCACTCCCCTGTCCCGCCCCACCCCCATCACTCCCCTGTCCCGCCCCACCCCCATCACTCCCCTGTCCCGCCCCACCCCCATCACTCCCCTGTCCCGCCCCACCCCCATCACTCCCCTGTCCCGCCCCACCCCCATCACTCCCCTGTCCCGCCCCACCCCCCATCACTCCCCTGTCCCGCCCCCACCCCCATCACTCCCCTGTCCCGCCCCACCCCCATCACTCCCCTGTCCCGCCCCACCCCCATCACTCCCCTGTCCCGCCCCACCCCCATCACCATCCCTGCCTGAAACGGCCCTTTCGCGGCCGTGTTTGGCGATTGCACCCACACGAACCCCACGGATGGGCGTCTGACCCCATCCCCGTCCCACCCAGCTGCACCCATCCCCACCGCTCACCACGCATGCAGCATGTTGATAATGGCGTCGCTGCGAGCAGGCATGGTCACATCCAGAGTGTTGCTGGCGCATGGCACATGCCCCAGCGCATGCACCAGCAGTGGTGCCATCACTCCCCTGTCCCCCCCCACGCCCCTGTCCCCCCCCACGCCCTCCTTCCCCCCTATCCCCGCGTTGCCCCCCACCCCCGCGTTCCTCCCCACCCCCACCACCATCCCCGCCTGAAACGGCCCTTTCACGATCATGTTGGGCGATTGCACCCACACGAACCCCACGGACGGGCGCGTGAGGGTGGCCCGCGCTGCGAGGAGGTAGAACTCCGGAGACACCCACTCGTACGGGGTAAAGCGGGCAATGTCCCAGTAGGAGCAGATGGGGAGGGGCCGGCCGAGGGAGATGCGGCTGTTGGCTCCCTGGGGTGGCAGAGGGTGGGAAGAAACAATGGGGGAGTGAGAGAGAAAATCAGAGAGAGGAAATCAGAGAGAGGAAATCAGAGAGAGGAAATCAGAGAGAGGAAATCAGAGAGAGGAAAACTCTAAATGGGAGGGGGAGGCCGAGGGAGATGCGGCTGTTGGCTCCCTGGGGGTGACAGTCGGTGGAAACAACGAGGAAAAGAGGAAGGGAGAAAGAGGAGAGAAATCAAGAAACACCGAGTAAGCTTGTGTGCACAACCATGAGAACTTTCCCTTCGTCACCATGAAGATCTGCCTGTAGTAAGTCGATTTTTGAGTCGACTAAAAAATCCACAACCATGAGAACTATCCTTTCGTCACCATGAAGATCTGCCCTGAATTTTGAGTCGAGGTGCCTGTTGAGTCGAATCAAAAGTCACCTTGTCATCACCACCATAGATCCGCCCTGTTCTCATCTCATCACCACCATAGATCCGCCCTGTTCTCATCTCATCACCAGCCTGGCCGCCTCCACCAGGTGGTCCCGCGCGTTGCTCAGCTGCTACAGGCCCTATTGGTCACAGCAACGTGAGACTCTCCCTCACGTTAGGCAGCACCAGGTGTATGAAGAAGTGTTTTGAGACGTCTCAAAACACTTCTTCATACACGTGCCTCCACCAGGTAGTCCCGCGCATTGATCAGCTGCTACAGGCCCTATTGGTCACAACACAGCAACGTGAGACTCTCCCTCACCTTAGGCAGCACCAGGATCCGCCCTGTCCGCTGTGCCAGCCTGGCCGCCTCCACCAGGTGAACCCGCGCGTTGCTCAGCTGCTCTGTCACTGCCGCCAGCACCAGGTAGCGCCGCTTGGCGAAGGGCTGCAGTAATGGGCAGGCAAGAGGAGAGAAGGCGGGGGAGAGGGGAGTAATGGTTGCCTGCTCAGCTGCTCTGTCACTGCCGCCAGCACCAGGTAGCGCCGCTGGGAGAAGGCTGCAACAACGGGGAGAGTGGGCAGGAAGCAGGAGAGAGGGCAGGAAGCAGGAGAGAGGGCAGGAAGCAGGAGAGAGGGCAGGAAAGAGGAGAGAGGGCAGGAAAGAGGAGAGAGGGCAGGAAAGAGGAGAGAGAGGAGAGAGGGCAGGAAAGAGGAGGGAGGGCAGGAAAGAGGAGAGAGGGCAGGAAAGAGGAGAGGGCAGGAAAGAGGAGAGAGGGCAGGAAAGAGGAGAGAGGGCAGGAAAGAGGAGAGAGGGCAGGAAAGAGGAGAGAGGGCAGGAAAGAGGAGAGAGGGCAGGAAAGAGGAGAGAGGGCAGGAAAGAGGAGAGAAGGCGGGGGAAGCCCCTCTCCCAGCGCCGCTACCTGGTGCTGGCGGCAGTGACGGAGCAGCACCAGGTAACGACGCTGCGAGAAGGGCTGCAGCCGTGGGGATAATGAGTTGAGAAGGGGAGAGAGGTGTGGGGTGGAGTGGGGAGGGAGGGATCAGCTGTTCAAAGTAATTCTGGAAAAGAGAAAAGAGGAAAGAGGAAAAGAATGAGGATCATAGGAACAGAGAGGAGAAATTGTGCACCGTACTGTGGGAATGCAGAGTGTGGGATGTGGGGTGTGGGAATTAGGTCTAGGGATTTTGGTGTGGGAAGGTGGGGTGTAGGAATGTGGGGTGTGGGAATGAGGGGTGTAGGAATGTGGGGTGTGGGGATGTGGGGTTTGGGAATGTGGGGTTTGAGAATGTGGGGCGTCGCAAAGTGGGGAGCAATTACCGAGTAATTGTTAAACGGCACGCCAGGGATGGGCCAGCATGCTTCGGGCCATTCTGCTCCCCCGTTATAGTCACCACTACCACCACTGCTGCTATTGCTGCTCCCGCCGACGCCGCTGCTCCTGCTGCTGCCGCTGCTGCTGCTCCTGCTGCTAAGACTAGAGATGTCTCCTATACCACGGTTGGTCTGACCAGTCCTGTTTGTTGACACGATGCCATTGATCAAACCACTCTCCACCGCTCTGATTTCATCACATGTAGATCTTATCCCCGCTAAGATGCTCTCACGTGTAAGATTATTACGCTTCAGCGACGAGATCATGTACTTGCTTGTAGGTAAACGAGCCATGACGCCATTCAGCCAACCAGGAGAGCACACGTGGCCCAGGTCGCCACGTGCTTGAACTGCATCCAGTTGGATTTCTGCCGAACGTGATTGGTTAAACTCCCAGTGAGGATTGTCCTCGCTTTTGAGAGCCCCGCTACGGCCGCCGTGGTTACTGCTGCTCACGAAGTCTCGTTTCGCTGCTTCTTTCGCCCACTTCTGCAGCGCTGCGCGGAGCTTTCTTTGGCAAGACACAATACCAGCTGGCAATGAGTTACTTGTAACATTGGCTGTTTCGTACGGTGAGCTGGTTCCCACAGAACCGTTACCACCGATTGTTGCACTGCTCAGTACCCGTCTGCACCGCCAAGGTAAGTCGAGCTCCAGATCAGCCGATCTGTCCTGTGATCCCTGAATCAACGGCTGAGATGAACCTGGAAATCTCCACGTTCCCGACCCTTGCTTCCCTTCTAGCGAATTTAGATCGCCGCTGCATCGGGAACTCGACAGCGTGGCGACGTGCACGAATTGAGCCACCGCTATAATCACAATGGCCTGGGCGAACAATTGGCCGAGCCACCGTAACGGAATCCTCCATCGGCCTCCTGACGCGCTCGTTAGAACTGATTGTGAACCAAGCCATGACCGTTTGGCTTGACGAAACGGCTGTGTCTGGTTACCTAGAGACTGCTTTCCCTTGGGAACACCGAAATCTCGGGTCACAATAGAGCTGGCGGATTGGGAAGCGGCATTTTCAAGGCGGTTGAAAAGTCGCCCGCTGGATCGTTGAATGCCAGCCATGAGATGCAAGCATCCCTAGGATAAGGACACGCCTAGCTACCGTCCGATTCTCGTTGGACTGCCGGCTCAGTCTAGCCAGAAGTTTTGTGTGACCGTTTGCAGGTCCCGCTTGTACAACGAAGTGAATTGGTTAGGGCGTGGGAGGTATTTGTAGAAGTTCAAAATAAAGTTCGAACTTTGGGTGGTTACCCTATTCGCTAATTTCGCTAAGGGTGCTTCGCGAACCAAGCATTGTATGGGCTCTGCAAAAGTTCGAGTTTGAAATATGAACTTGACTCGAGTCGGAGGCGCGAACGTGCGTGCGCACGTTCATGCGAGCGTGTGTGATCTGCAGCACGTCCGAACAGCTGGCGAAACGGGCGAGCGCTTCGCCAGTGCATGAAGTTGCACAATGAAGACACCCCACAATTCGTGCACACAGTTCTAGCCACGTGTCCAGCATACAAGGTGTTGCCATGGGGGCTATTTGTACCCTGGTGCGCGGAAGGTGAGCTGGAGCCCTTCGTCAACATTTTGCGCCACGTCAACATTTTGTACAAATAGCCCCCTAGAGGGGAGTGTGCGAAGGTGACGGGAGGTTGACGAAATTTTGCACCACTCGGCGCGGAAGGTGAGTTGGAGCTCTAGGTCCTTGAAAACCGAGGCGCAAAATGTTGACGTGGCGCACCGAACCGGGTAACCTATGATGTTGACGTGCGGCTCGGCTCGTTTTTACAAGTTCGAATGTCGGGGTTCGACTTTGTATGTGTGTGTGATTTTTTTCTGTGGTAAGCCCGATGTTCGAACTTCGATAGAAGGAAATTCAAACTTCTTTCGTTGTAAGTTCGAAACTAAAATTCGCCCTAAAAACATAAACTTTTACAAATTTCAAAGACCTCACACGCCCTTAACACTTTGTTTCAATATGTTTTCGGAATTCATTATAGCAGTATGACCCAGTTTAGGGTTCGGGTACCAGAAACCCAGGTTGGTGGTATTTTTACCCCCAATAGAGTGAAACTGCCAAAAAGGACCCAAATGCAACACACATATACCGTAAATACACTTTTGTAATTGTATGTACTGCTTATTCTGTTGAATCCCGAGGACAACAGATGAATAAATTCTAAGCCATCAATGATTATATTTGAGAATTAATATCTATAAATAAATTTCTGCCTGATTGCTGAAAAAAGAAGTAGGTAGGTAGTATTAATGAAATAAGAAGTTGTCACACAATCAGGATGTAACACTCAATGCATAGAGTAAATCGAGGCACTCGATACTTAAATGTTTCCCATGGTACTGTGAACTGAAGGCCGTGAAACATTTGGCCTGAAGACGATGGTTCAAGATCGAGCCGAACTCTAAAAAGATGGGGTCCTCGAAGTTCTTATCGAAAATTTCAAGCCTAATTTGTGAATCTGGAAACCCAATTTTCCGCATCGAGCCTCACGCTCGACCGCAGGCTCGATGCGTTTTGTGTTGTGCAAAAATTCAGTTCAGTAACTTCACAAGGCGTTTCGTCATTCGTCCAAACATGTTCACAGGATGTGCGAAACTCCGCATGTGTATGAGAGGTCATCATGTAGATTTTCGCTGAGTGCAGGTCGTTTCCATTTATATCTCGCGAATATCATTGCCACGCTATCGCCCCACCAGCAAAGCCAAGCTCGAAGTAGGTTCAATCCCGTTTGACGCTATCTTACTCCACATCGCCCAGGCTCGAAATGTCTGCAAATGTACCACGTCCTACGGTCACATGCATTTGGCACTGGGTTCTGTTCTAGTCTCGTTGTCAAGCCCGTAGTAGGCATTAGCACACCAAGAATCTCGTGGAAGCACGAGTTCCAAACACGTCAGAGCGATATTTTGTCAATACCAATGGACTCACGCATGAATCAGTAAAATCTCGTGCGAGCAGGCTTTTCAATCACGAGTTGGTCGAATTCAGTGCAAGAACGAAATCCACCTCTCGAAGTCTTTAGATTAGAACAATGGGGATGCCGGGTGCGTGCTATCACGACCATCCACCGTCGCAATCCCAGCAACCGCAGAGGCCGCTAGCGGGAGCCGCGGGAGAGGAGATGCAGCGACACGCGCTGTTCGGCGGTGCGATTCAAGCGGATTTCCCGCCGCGCTTTGAGGTACGGAGGGCCGTTGGTCGAGTGAATCCGTGTCTAAATTTGGAAAGAACACGCCAATATGACTGAGCGAAGCTTTTGTAAGAGAGATTGGTTAATGCTTGTGTAGATTGGTTGGTGATTCTCGGTATATTTCTTGTCGGTTTTGACAACCGCGGTGTGCGCTCCAGCTCAATGTACTCGTTTCACGCACCCTTGTCCGGTTGTAATGCTTATAACGAATGCCTTGACGTTGCTTTGCCTCTCTCTCCTGGCAGGACATCAGCAACTTCCGAGAAGTACCCAACAACCAGGTGAGGTGACGTGACAACCAGGGCGAGGTATTGTAGTGCTTATAACGAATTTCTCGTTTCTTTTCGTCAAACGTCCACCAGAGCCGTTCGTGACTGAATTCCACACTCGTTCCGCAGCCTCTGGTCGATCTTTCTAGGTGAGAAGAATTCCGAGAGAACTTGCTGCAAGGCACACTTTGAGCTACGAGTACCTACCTTCCACAGCAACACTCGTCACATGGGCTCCCCTATTCTTCCCTTTTCCCCTATTCTTCCCTTTCCCGCTATTCTTCCCTTTCCCGCTATTCTTCCCCCCACCTTCTTTCCTCCACGCACCCCTCCTCTCCCCCGTGGCCGCTGGGTATCGGAGTTCCGCCCCTCCTCCCCCTCCCCTCCTCACCCTCCCCTCCTCCCCCTCCCCTCCTCCCCCTCCCTCTCCTCCCCCTCCCCCTCCTTCCCCTCCCCCTCCTCCACCTCCTCCCCCCCCTCCTCCCCCCACCCCACCCACCCGCCCCTGGGCTATCAAGAGGTGTTTGCTGATGCCAGTCGGGACGAGAGCATAGTGATCGAGCTGCTATTACCTCACCCTTCCCCCTCTCTCCCGCCTCACCTTCCCCACTCTCTTCTCCCTCTCCCTGTGCTATTAGGAGCATAGTGCTCAAACTGCTGGAGACATTACCTCACCCTTCCCCATCTCCCCCGCCTCACCTTCCCCCTCCTCCCCCCCTTCCCCCGATTCCCCGCGGCTATCAGGAGGTGTTTGCGGATGCCAGTCGGGACGAGAGCATAGTGATCGAGCTGCTAGAGATGAAGGCTGACGTGGCGGACGCTGATTCGTCCAGGTGGTTCCTGGAGGATCTGATGCGCGAGCAGGAGGCACAGCCTGGCAGTGTGAGTGGCTGATGGTGCTGAGGGGAGATTGGAGGGTGGGTGGATAGGATGGTAGGATGGTGGGATGGAGGGATGGTAGGATGGGATGGTAGGATGGTGGGATGGGTTTTTTAAGGTGTCTCAAATTGTTAAGGGTGGGTGCCCTGCACCACACATGCCCTGCACCGCACATGCCCTGCACCACACATGCCCTGCACCACACATGCCCTGCACCACAAGCGCTCTGCACCACATGCGCCCTGCACCACGTGCGCCCTACTCCACATGTGCCCTGCCTGCAGCACACGTGCCCTCCTGGTGTGTCAACCCCTAAGCGCTCCTTTCCCATTCGCCGACGGCCCTCATGTGGGTGCATGTCTTTGGAGTCAAGAGAGCTATGCTGCCCCGTTTGAGGTGACTTTTGAGTCGACTCAAGTCACCTTGGCCCTCATGTGGGCGCATGTCTTTGGATTAAAAAGAGCTATGCTGCCCCGTTTCAGAATTCAAAAAATTCGGCGATCTATTTTAACACTTGTCAAATGTGACGGCCCTCATGTGGACGCATGTCTTAGGATTCAAGAGCTATTATTCCCACCCATGTATGACCCACACATCCGTGTATGACCCACCCATCCGTGTATGACCCACCCATCCGTGTATGACCCACCCATCTGTGTATGACCCACCCATCCGTGTGTGACCCACCCATCCATGTGTGACCCACCCATCCGTGTGTGACCCACCCATCCGTGTGTGACCCACCCATCCGTGTGTGACCCACCCATCCGTGTGTGACCCACCCATCCGTGTGTGACCCACCCATCCGTGTGTGACCCACCCATCCGTGTGTTACCCACCCACCCGTGTGTTACCCACCCACCTGTGTGTGACCCACCCATCCGTGTGTGACCCACCCATCCGTGTGTGACCCACCCATCCGTGTGTGACCCACCCACCCGTGTGTGACCCACCCACCCGTGTGTTACCCACCCACCCGTGTGTGACCCACCCACCCGTGTGTGACCCACCCACCCGTGTGTTACCCACCCATCAGTGTGTGACCCACCCACCCGTGTGTGACCCACCCACCCGTGTGTGACCCACCCACCCATGTGTGTCGCACCCACCCGTGTGTGACCCACCCACCCGTGTGTGACCCACCCACCCATGTGTGTCGCACCCATCCGTGTGAGACCAACCAATCTGCAACCAACACCCAGGCTTTGGAATCTGCTGCTCCTATCCCCTCAACAGACTGCCTGCGTTTAAACTGCCAATACGTTCATCCCTCTGTTTGGATTCATCACAGCATTCATATGCAAACCCATCCGCTCATCCCACCCACACCCATACAGGCTTTGGAATCTGCTGCTCCTATCCCCTCAACAGACTGCCCTCACGTGGACTCCTCTGTTTTCAAGAGCTATGCTGTGGGCAGAATGGTAATGTGCCACGTGTGGAGAGAATGGTAATGTGCCACGTGTGGAGAGAATGGTAATGTGCCACGTGTGGAGAGAATGGTAATGTGCCACGTGTGCAGAGAATGGTAATGTGTCACGTGTGGAGAGAATGGTTATGTGCCACGTGTGGAGACAATGGTAATGTGCCACGTGTGGAGAGAACGGTAATGTGCCACGTGTGGAGAGAATGCTAATGTGCCACGTGTGCAGAGAATGGTAATGTGCCACGTGTGGAGAGAATGGTAATGTTCCACGTGTGGAGAGAATGGTAATGTGCCACGTGTGCAGAGAATGGTAATGTGCCACGTGTGGAGAGAATGGTAATGTGCCACGTGTGCAGAGAATGGTAATGTGCCACGTGTGGAGAGAATGGTAATGTGCCACGTGTGCAGAGAATGGTTATGTGCCACGTGTGCAGAGAATGGTTATGTGCCACGTGTGCCGTCGTCAGAATGGTAATGCGCAGCACTTGATCTGATCGCAATAGCATTGAACCCGAAATTCTCAACCGTAACACCTAACCTCTGAGAGACAGGTACAAAGTACAATCACGTATTTGATTTACTGCGTTTTGTGTGGCTGTACTGTACCTTGCTCACGATGCCTGCTGAAGGCGGATGGAGTTTGTCTCGCCGTCCTAGAACCAGCTAAGTTGATGTACATAAGACCTCCGCAGCCCACCTGTTTACTCATAACAGTGGCTGTACTGTACCTTGCTCACGAGGTCTGTCGAAGGCGGATGTCTCGCTGTAATGTCATTCTGAGATGTCTCGCTGTAATGTCATTCTGAGATGTCTCAGCTCCCCCTGTCGTACTGCTTCCATGTGGCCCTGTTGTACTGTTGTGCCTGTCACGTTGAATGAACGGCCCTCTCTCTCCCCGTTTTCTTGTGTGTTCCTGCTGATTCGATACCAAACCAGACTGTATCCAAGGGTCGGCAAGGTGCCGAAGCTCTGAATGTGGTCCGGGTAAGTTTAACTTCTTTTTCTTGCGTCCCTTGCTCCCCAACATGTACCCTTCCATGCTTTTAAACGCTTCCACCACTCACCTTCTGTCCTGTCCCGCTTGCTTTAATTATAGAACTTTCCCATCCCCTGCCCCTCCTCCAATTTTTCCCTCTCGCCCCCCGTCCCCCAAACCTCCTCAACCCCTGACGTCCTCCACTCTCCCTCCCTTCCGCCACCAGGTCTGCCTGCCCAATCTTCACCTGTGCAACGTGCACGTTGCACAGCAAAGAGACATGCTTATCCCTCTCAACTCGAGTTCTGAGGCGCCTCAAAAACTGAAACTTCACATTCCCTGCCTCTCCCTCACTCACCACCCCCAGGTCTACTTGGCCAATCTTCGCCTGCGCAATGTGCACACAGACGTGCTTATAACAGTCAACGAGCCGCTCTTTATCAGGTACGGATATTCTGTTGCCTGGTAACTGACCTGCGCTACTGAGGCACTCAAAAGCCTTGTATGGTCTCGTAAGTGGTTTTTGAGAGCTCCCAAAAGGCTTGTATGGTCTTGTAACTTGTAAGTGGTTTTTGAGAGCTTTCAAAAGCCCCGTATGGGTTTAGAAGTTCTTGGTGTGTTGTTCTGACTTTTGAGGTTTCTCAAAGGGACGTTATATTTCCATTCTCGCTCCTTCCATTCTGGCCCACTAATCACTACTGATACACTGTTGCTATCACCTCCCTTGTTGCCACAACAATTCATCCTCACCTTTATGGAAATCAGCTACCAGTGAGTAGACTGAGGGTGCGGCACAGCAGCAGCGGGGCCGGCAGGAGTCACGCAGGCTGCAGTGCAGGAGGCAAGCATTTGACCTATTCCTCCCCCTCCCAATTCTCCCCAAATTACCGTTTCTTTCCTATCCTTACATTCCCCTCGTTTCCTCTTTCACCTATCAGTGAGCAGAGTGAGAGTGCGGCAGCAGCGGGGACGGCAGGAGTCACGCAGGCAGCAGCACAGGAGGCATCGGCAGGGGTGCTGGGAGCCACAGCCGGCGGGCAGGTGTTTCAATGGCTGCTTGCGTCGTTCAAGGTCAATGATTGGGGGCTGTTTGGGCCGCAATAGTAGGAGTTGGGAGGCAGTATAGAAACTGGAGGCAGCAGCAGCAGTGGAGCAACAGTCACGCAGGCAGCAACACAGGAGGCGTCAGCGTCAGCAGGGGTGGTAGGAAATACAGCGGACAGGGAGGTGTTTCAATGGCTGCTTGCGTTCTTCCAGATCAATGACTGGGGGTTGGGCCGCAAGAATAAAGAACCATTGTGTAGCAGAAGCAGCAGGGGAGCAGCAGATAACCAGGCGGCAGCATAGGAGGCGTCAGCAAGGGTGGTGGGAGCGACAGGTGGCGGGCAGGTGTTTCAACGGCTGCTTGCCTCCTTCCAGATCAACGACTGGGGGCTGTTTGGCCACACGAGTAGGAGTTTTGGGAGGAAGTATACGAACTGGGAGGCAGCAGCAGCAGCAGCAGCAGCATCAGCAGGAGGGAGGAAGGAACACACTCGCATGCAGCAGTGCAGGAGGTATCGACTTGACAGCATGGGTCTGTTTTTTTAGAATTCTCAAAAAACAGGCGAAGCCCATGGTTGCATGGTTATCCTCCTGCTGATTTGGGGATGTTTGAGCATGATGATTTGGAGTTTGAACCGAGCAGCAGCTAGAGGGAGCAGCAGGACCAGCTGAGTTAACAATGCAGGATGCATGGATGACAGGGTGAATTGCCATTCTGACACTTACTAACATGCAGGGTTGTCAACAGCATCCTTATTTTTCAGAGCTGTTAGGTTTTTAGTAGCACCCTTTTCAGAAAGAGCAAGTGAGCATATTGTGCCGTATTAGGCTGATATTCCAGAGTGGACTTTTGTACCCAGGTTGATGAGAAAATAGTATTTCATACTGCCCAGTACGGCCCAACAGGATTCTAGGGGGGTCCAGCAGAGAGAGAGAGAGAGAGAGAGAGAGAGAGAGAGAGATTCTCTTGAGATAGTATAGTCCTTTGAGGTACGGTCCTTTGAGATTCTCTTGAGATACTGTAGTCCTTTGAGGTACGGTCCTTTGAGATCCTCCTGAGATACTGTAGTCCTTTGAGGTACGGTCCTTTGAGATTCTCTTGAGATACTGTAGTCCTTTGAGGTATGGTCCTTTGAGATTCTCTTGAGATACTGTAGTCCTTACTCAACCGTGGGGCGGACACGAGCATCGCCTTGACTTCATGACATGAGCCACGGTGATAGGCCGCAAAAGGAGCTGTGGTGCCCAAGACTCTGAACCCTTTTCCTCCTCGTCCTCTTGCCCGTTCGCGACTGACTCCAGCCTCTGAGACACTTTCGACTGCCCCATTGAACCTCGCACCACAGTCTACTCCTCAGCCTCATTCATCTTCTGCTCCCTCCCAGCAACCTCAGCCAACGTCAGCGCCGAAACTTGTTTCAAAGAAACAGAAGGTGGTTCTCCAGCCTTCCCAATTCCCCGTCTTCATCTCAGCCTCAAACCTCTCACCCTGTGCCCTCGCCTTCACGTGACCATCCCTCCTCTACCTCAGCCCATCCTCCAATTAGCATAGCAGATGCTCCTGATCTTACGGCCCTTGCTGACGACTCGCACCCACTATCACACTATGAAATTTCTGCTTCACCCTCTCGGGATCCCCCCCCTCCTTCCCCTACCCCTCACTCTACGCAGCCATGCCCACACCCTTGTCCGCCCTCGTCAACCTCCGTTAACCCGTTACCTCCTAATACTTGCCCTACGTGTCGACGCCCCTTTGCCAACTCAGGTTCTATGGCCCGCCACCTTTCAGCCTGCTCTCGCAACACCGCCACACGACAGCAAGCTGCTCGACCCCCTCCTCCCCCCTCATCAGCCCCAACTTAAGCCCCCGCAGCCGCAGATCGACCTTCTATTCCCGAAGCCACATGGGAGGCCGTTCCTTCCTGGGATTGGCCTTCCTTCTTCAGCCCAGCAGTCTCATCTGGCCCTATTCTCCGCCGAATCCCCTCCCGCATCTGACTCCCAATTCTCGATGCACTTCTTATTCTACTGCGCCGCCTTGCACATCATCCTTCTGACGTCGCTGCACACCTCATACTCTTGGTATTTCCGCGTCTCCTACTGTGCCTACCATCTGGCGCGCTGCTCCCACACAGCCCCTTACCTCTTCATGTGCTTCTTTAACGCACCACTTCATCAATGGTGACTGGTATTCTCTTTTCAGCGAAGCCGTAGCTGCAGCCAGTCCAGCAGCCAGACCTATGCACATGTCATCAGCACGTTCTACAGCGCTGCAGGCTCGTCTCAACCGTGCGAAGCGGTTTGCGAAATGCGGGGATTGGTCGCGGTCACTAATAGCACTAGAAGCGGGCGAGCTAGCACCTCCATCATCAGAAACAGCTGCTGCCCTCAGCTCCAAGCACCCACCTGCTGTCGAGATTCCTTTCTGGGTACACAGCTAAACTTCTGCTCCCGCACCACAGCTTACTGTCCCCGTCCTCCACGCCGCTCTACAGTCCGCCCCCCGTAGCACAGGTGCTGGACCTTCTGGGTGGCTCATTGAGCACCTCAGAGACACGTTCTGTCTCACCAACAGCATCTCCCCTCTCTCCTCCACGTCTTCATGAAGTGGCTACAAGGCGATCTTCCACCTACAGTCAGGCCGTTCTTCACCGCTTCGAGCCTGGTCGCCCTACAGAAACCGCATGGTGGTGTACATCCCATCGACATTGGAGAAGTGCTACCACGCCTTCTTTCACGCCGCATCACTCTCCTCTTCAAGCAGCAGATGCAAGAGTCGTTTCTTCCTCACCTTCAGTTTGGCGTAGCAGTTCCAGCAGGCATCGAGGTCATGTCGCACGACGTTTGTTCCGCCTTCTCCCTTCATCCGGACTGAGTGGTGCTGCAATTGGACGTCGCAAACACATTCAATTCCTTCAACAGAGTAATCATGTTTGAGGCATTAAGGCGCTCCCCATTCTCCAGTCTCATTCCCTTCTTCCGCCTATTTTACTCCACCCCTTCACCTCTCCATTACTGCAGCGCCCCCCTTCTCCACACATTCCAGTCAGCTTACGGTGTTCGTCAAGGCGACCCTTGTGGTCCTTTTCTGTATGCCCTAGCGCAGCAACTAGCCATCCAACCAACCCAGCAGCTGCATCCCTCAATTTTCATTACGTCATACGCGGACGATACCTACTTGGTCGGCCCTCCCTCAGACGCCTTTGCCGCATACACTGACCTTACCGCCCGCCTTCTCTCTCTTGGCCTTACTGTCCAACCCTCTAAGTGCTCTCTATAGGCCCCTATGGACTTGCCCGAACACCGCATTCCGCCCTCGGGTATTTCCATCGCTGCAAACGGTCTCACTGTTGCAGGTGTTCCTACTAGCTCAGATGGTTACATCACCTCTACAGTTCGTGACAAACTTGATTCTTTCACTTCCTCCCCCCCCAAACTGCATTGACTGCTGGACCTACAGATTGCCTCACATATCCTTTCCTTGTGCATCAATGCCCGACCTTTCTTCCTCCGAATCGTCGCACATTTTCCCGAAATCTAAGAGTTACTCTCCTCATGGGACTGCACCATTTTTAGCCACTTCTCTCAGCTCTTGGGCTCCGAGTACTGGAATCCCACCTCTGAACACTACACATCAACCTGACTCCAAGCCTCGCTCCCTATCCGCTTGGTTGGCTTCGACATTCGCGGCTCTGCATCCATTGCCCCCCTCAGTTACCTCTGCAGCTGGGCGCAAACAGTTTCGACCTTATCTACCCACTTCATCACCAATGGTGCTCCTCTTTTCCACCGTTACATTACCACAGAATCCATTAACCACCTCAACCCTTCAATCTCATCTACCATGACCATGTTTCCCCAAGACACTCGTGATCGCTTCACATTGTGGTTTGTGCTTCAACCAGACTACTCTCTTGAACTCTTTACTCACCTCTCCCAACACCTCGAAGCCGATCTGTTGGAGAAGGTTTGAGCCACAGTAACGTCCCCGCTTCGCCTTGCTCGCCTAACCTCTTTGCAGGGCCCGCATGTAGGTGACTGGCTCACTGTGGCTCCATTCTCCCCGCACATGCAGCTTTCAGAGACCGAATGGCGCATTGCCTTGTCAAAACGTTATATGCTTTCTATATTTCTAAGCTATGTAGGGGTTATATTTAGAGGGTACAGCAATTTTCTTGACACTCTTGTACCTCCCCCTTTAACCTAATCCACCATCACTTTCTCGCTACTTCTAGCATGGATTCAGAGTCTAGGTACCTTCCTACTCCCTTCCTAGTGTTCTTGGGCCCACCACGCTAGGCTATAACTGCCCGTAGCGCGCTGCCCTAAGGGCGCACTGTTCGTTTTGCCCCGCATGTGCTGGTTTTCGGGCTGTCCCTCTAGCGTGATCGCGCTGTCCTGCCCCACCCGCCATCGCGCTGCCCTGCCCTGCCCGCGATCGTGCTGCCCTGCCCTGCCCGCAATCGCGCTGCCTGCTGCCTAGCGCATTGCCCGCCCGCGAGCACTCTGCCTGCCCGCAAGCGCCACTGCGCACCTGCCCGCGAGCGCCACTGCGCCCCTGCCCACGAGCGCCACTGCGCCCCTGCCCGCTTGCGCTGCCCACCAGCAGCCTGCAGCCGGCCTGCGCCCTGCCCGCGCGCACCCCACCCGCACTCACGCGCACCCTGCCTGCGCCCTGCCCGTCCGCGCTAATGCAAGCTGCTGCTGCTGTCACTTACGCAGCTGCTACTGCTGCATGCGCTGCTGCTGCTGCTACTAAGCGCTGCTGCTGATGCTGCATGCGCTGCTGCTGCTGCTGCTGCTAAGCACTACTGCTACACGCGCTACTGCAGCTGCGCTCTACCCTGCCGAGCCCCTGCTTCCACCTGTGCTACTGCTGTTGCACTGCTGCTGCTTTGCTGCGGCTGCTGCTAGGGTGCTGCTGCCGCCTGAGCCGCGCTGCCTTGCCCTGCAGCCAGCGAGCCGCGCTGCCCTGCCCTGCAGCCTGCGCGCTGCGCTGCCCTGCCCTTAGGCCCGCACGCCGCCCTGCCCTTAGAGCCGTGCTGCTCTGCCCTGAAGCA